TATTGTTAAAATTATCAAGCTAGACTACGAGCTTAAACTGTATTTCTCGCGAACGCTGCATAATCAATGTTTTCCAAGTATTTTCTGCTTGTGCAGTTGACTGTAAAATCGCAACGATTTAATGACGAATATAGCAGTGCTATTTGTTACAGGTAACAGTAATTACTTATTTACAGTAAATAAAAAATAAAGTTCAAATTAACAGTCGAATTATCTGCCAATGAATCTCTTTACATACAATGCATTCGCGATGACGTGAACTAATTAAAACCAAAGGAGTTCAGGAGGATTTGGATAAATACCCCTCTCCTCCCACACCTGGTCGACCCTGGCAAATGAAACAAGGACCGCTATGACAGCTTGCCCGCAGGCTCACCTCCATCAGTAAGAGAATCGCCACATTCCGGATCAAAGCTAAGTTCAACAACATTAGCCTAATTTGTATACACGCCCCAACGGTGGAGAAGGGCGATAAGACCAAAGAGAAATTCTATGAGCTCATTGACTCATCATATGAAATCGTGCTTGACGATTGCAGACGTTAGACAAGTCAGACTAGGCATATAGGTCCAACAGTCTGAAAATTTAAGTAATGTTGGTATTTAGTACTCAAGGTGAAGATTCTGTAACCAGTTAGCGAGAGTTTTCGGATCGGTGTCGCTTTTGTTGACGTATGATATGAATATTTTTACATCAATAAGTGCGATAGTTATCCTAAACTTTTTGCTAACTGGTTTCAGAATCTCCCACTGGTATCCCTTTATCAAAAAACTAAAAATTTAATTGATCTCCGTGTGATATACCGAAGATACATCAAACATCTCGGTTCACTACTTTATCGCGGCCAAGGTCCGTATGCACTGCCGTGTCTCAGTGAACTCGACGAAAGTTCGACGTCTCAAAGCTGCCGAGAAGTTTTGCAATAGATTCTACATAAATCCTGATTTATCAAGCAACTCCTCATCGCGGGATTTCATGTCCCAATTACATCTTAGTTCCACCCACGCTGAAACAGCTTGTATACGCCGCATACAAAGCCAGTGCAGTGATGAAGACGGAAACCTCGTAGCTAGCGATGGCAAAAAAAAATCTATTAATTAATTATATGATTAATCACAAACCAAAAAAATTAATTACGATTTATTGAAATTATTGATAAATAATCGATTGATCGAATTTTTAATTACTTAATTTCGCAAAAACTTCTTACTAACGGATCTTTGAAATGGATTTTTGTGAACCTCGGGTCGAGTAAAGTTGATGCAGCTAGCAAAAAAAATGTTCGATGGAGGGATTTTAGACAACTACAGAACTCATTTCTTGAAAATATTTTTACGATTATTTTAAAATTAAACGATTAACAATCGGTAAAATCGTAAATTGGACCAAAATAATCGATTAATTTAATCAAATGATATGAGTACGGATGTATTCGTAGCAGACATTCAGAGTACGTCAGAGATGTGGAGAGAACAAAACTCAATGATTCCAGTCGCGCGTTTGATGATTAAAAATCCAGACAAATACATACGAGCGCTGTCCAAGGTGTTCTACTTCAAGACGAGGTGAGAAGAGCAATAAGCCCACGGAATAATGGAACGAATTTCCGAGACCCTTTGTCAAATTTGGTTTGGCAGAAATTCGTTCCAAAACACATCATACACCCACACTGTCAGAAACAACAACCACCAAAAAGGAAATAATTGATGGTACTTATCAGTGTGACTTCAGACCTCACAGGTCCACCATTGACTAGATTTTACCAAATATTGGAAAATACCATTGATAAACATATTGACGCACACCGGCCTTTCGACGATTTTTAAGCCACTTTTGAAGAAGAGAAGCTGCCTCTGTAAAGCTATGTCTAAATTTAGAATCCCAGCAAACTTTATACGACTATCCATCGTTGGTCTGATGGTGAACGAAAACAAGACAAAATACCCCCAAGCAACAACCAGCCTTAACGTATTGGAGTAGTGAAGTACTTTGTCTTCATATGATCCACTTTAAGCTCGGTAAGCAATTGAAAACAAACGACAAACAAACGTCAAACTCTACAAAACTCTCATCACTTTATTAAATTTTGTATGGGATTGTTGATTACGAATCTGAAATCAGTTTGCAAAAATTCAAAACGGCGAATGGACTTTTTAAAAAATTTCAGATTTTTATGAAATTTCATATCCAAAGTTTCTTTGGGTCACTGGCTACAAAATTGAGAGGAGAATCAATATAACAATAAAGTTGTAATATTGCGGTATTTATCACGTAGCTCGAATACGGCCTTATTCTTGACTAATAAAATAGAACTCTTGATATTCGATTAATCGAATATTTGCTCAATGTCGAATCCTTGCGAGCGGTTATCACAAAAAAATGATCTTCGAAGGATAGTGCAAGGAATAGAGCATCAAATCAAGGAAATTAGGGTTTCTATTACTGCAGAGAAGGGGACGTGCTTAGTTAAAATAATGCCAAATTACAATGCTACAAAACAGTTGAAAAAATTTAGTTACTCTTACTAAAATTGTCACTTGTTCACACAACTGGCATTTTTTTTGATAGTTTGTTTTTTTGCATTCCCAAGAAGCTTATAGTTAACCCCATCTTCTCTTAAAAATTTACAACCGTAACTCAAAAACTAGCGAACTTACGCCACTTTTTAAAAAGCCCTAACTTAACGAATGAAAATTTGTGAAAGCAGAAAGCCCTAACTGAAGTACTTTTGCTACAAAAAATTTCCCAATTTCACTGTAGTAGTAGTACGGCCCATTCGTGTTTCTTAAAACTTCATACCTTTTACTTAAATTTATTTGAACAAATCGAGTGAAAGGTCTGAAATTTTAAGATAAAGCATTTGCTTAAGTTTTAGGCATATGGCCCAATATCTGAAAGCTGTATGCGCATTTCTGGGGTAGCATCCAATTTCGACCTGAATTTGTTTTTTGTATAATGTAAGCTGAAAACTCTATTTACAGAGTACGTTGCGACAGAAGTAAGCAAAGTTAAAATATCCTTTTTAACGACTTCATGATATTTACTCTTAACACTAACCCAAAACTCTTTCAGAGACACAGATTCAAATGTGTGTTTCAATGTCGAAGTACTCTGAAGATCTATGAACGCTTCGTAAATGGATTTTGTGCCAAACTGATATTACTACTACCATCCGAAAAATAATCTGACAAAGATTTCAGGCGATTTACCAAGTGCCCAGTTATGACATTTAACAGGAAACGAACACAAAATTTTCTCACCGTTTGCCTTTATTTTAGAACCGAACACGAAATCGCCATAACACAAAGGACGGGAACGCTTTCTGTCGAAGGCCATCCAGATTGTTAGGGGAATTATGTTCGTCGTACTTTTGTCTAAAAAATTACCGTAAATGACTTTTGTTTGATGAAAATGCTCGAAAATAAATTTTGAAGTCATTGAGGGAGATGTAGTGGGACCAGAAGAAGCCATACGTGCGCGATCTCATTAATTTTATATAAATATTATACCTATCCCTTTCATTTGTCTTGTTTAGCTTATAGTGCAAAGTAACTACTAACTTGCTTTGATATGGAAACAAAATATATTGGATTTAACATGAATGCAAAAAGCCCCAACTGAAACATTTATTTCATAACTTCGCATTCATAAAGGCCCTAACTGACAGGAATGCTACATAATTGATAAAAAACTTTAAATTTTTTTAGTTATGTTAGGTATTGATATTTTACATAAATTTCATGAATCATTAACCGACTTCCAAAAAAGGAGGAGGTTATCAGTTCGTCGGAATCTTTTTTTTTTTTTATGTATGTTACCGCATAACTTTGGACCACGTCAACCGATTTCGATAATTCTTTTTGCATCGGAAAGGTAGCTAATCTTATTTCGCACCCTGCCACTGGTTCGCTCTCTAAGTCCAAATAGGTTATTTGGAAGCTATTTTTAAAACAATATTAATACTATATTAGCTTAAAATGTGTTTGCATTTCTCCATGAATATGTATTTATTAAAACATAGTATGTATTCATCCGTTTAATATTATTTAAATTAATTTCAGATAATCAGATGACAATTTTGAATGCACCACCAACGAACTAAAATGAAGCCGCCATATCCATAGTAAACCGAACACGGCTTTAGCTGCAGCAATGGGAATACTCGCATCAACTAAACCAACAGCAGCAACAACTACTACTATGTACTACTACTAAATTACTGTACTACTATTATATTATAACTACGAAACTTATCTGCTATGCCTGACTCTCCCAATTTGTATTACAAAAATCAGAAGAAGAAAAAACACGCACACCAAGCAAAAGTAGCAATAAACTAATTATAAATATATGTATTATTATTAAAAGCGTTCGCAACTATAGACAAACAAATAGAAAACAAATTGAAATGCAATAAACAAATCTAAACGATTGCAGTACTAAAGACTAGACTACATATAAACATTATTTCTAACATAAATATAGGTATACATATGTAGTTGCGTAGATTTTTGTGGTTGTTGTATTCATTTAGCCGATCCATTCCACTCTCGTATTGACAAAATGTAGTTTAAAGAGCAAAGTTTCAAAATATGGAAACGTGAAGTGTTTATTCCTATATTTCAAATTCGTTCAAAAATTATTTGCTTTATTACTTTGCGTATAAATGCCACAATATACAAACTGCTAGAGTTATAAACAAAAAATAAAATTAAAACGAAGCTGGAGATGGAGCTTAGGTACTAAATATATACATATAGTAAAAGTTAGTCGCATTTCTATACATTTTCAAAAATACACGTGCACACACACACGCACAAATAGAAACGTATATGTATGTATGTACGAACGGTTAGCGATATTTTCATTGCCAAAATTACTGTTATTATATATTATTTAATTACAAATGTAAACGTGTGTAAATTTTAAATAATTTTAATTTTTTTCAGTGCATACATTTGTAGTTTTATGTGCATACGTACATATTTATATGCATGCACATACATTTGTACTTTATTTAATGTAATATATTTGTAGTTTTAAGCGTTTTCCCTTAATTTTTTGTAATAATGTTTTGTTTGATTAAAAAGCAATTGCACACTTATTGTAATTTTGCAAATTGTTTGATTTTAAATTATAGATATGTATGTAGTATATACATATATGCAAACACATACAAAACAATACGTTTTATACAATTGAGAGTAATACAAAACGTAAATACTTGTAATCAATTAAAATCAATGTGATTTAAGCGATTTTATCAAAGCTATGCAATGTCTTAAAAACTACGTTAAATTAAAGAAAGAGAAAAATTGTTCTATGCAAAGCTGTTGTAAATTTCCAAAAGTGGAAACCACTTAATGAAAATAAGTAATATTTAAGTACCAAAAAAATTAAATACATATATTAATCTTAATAAAAATTGTATTCAAAAACAAGAAAAAACCCACAAAACAATTGTACATCAATTATCGGAGTAACAGCGTTAAAAAAGCAAAAAAAAACTACATAGGATACTATGGGCATTAAGGCAACATTGAATGTAAGAGCAATATCTCAACTTCGCGCATTTGTAATTTTTTATATTGCTTTTGCTTTTACAAAACGCAAATTGTATTGTTTGGTTAATTTGCTAACTGACTGCAAGCAATACATATAACTGAAAAACATACATACATATAGTAAATACATAATATAGTATGTACATAAGTAAGTCTTCTAAATTTTTTTACACTGTTGTAAGCTAAAGTGCCATTAGGTCTAAATTTTGTAGAAGAAAATAAACATGCTGTTTTGTTTGATGAAAACGAAAACACGTGCATCATTAGTTGTATTTATCTTACGTAGTAATGCGAAGTAAAGTTTTGTAATATTCCATAGAAAAAATACAAATTTGTAATTAGTATTGTTCATATCCGTAGATTCCGCATGCATTTACATACATTTTTAATACTAACATTTGTAACACAATTTTTATTGATTTTTTTTTTTTGCCAGGCACTTTTACATACATATTTTACACACATAATTCAACTGCTATACCGTACTGAATGGCAAATTTTAAATGCACGCATATTATTTGTACAAATTTACGCAAATGTATTTGACTATTTATTGTTTTACGAACATCCCACTAGTTACCGGTTTCTCGTTTTTTTCTAAGCTGATGTTAAATAGGAAATCCTCGTCATCAAATTTTTTTAACGTTGATCATGCCTTTATGACCGGCCGTAAATATGTTCTATATACAAACAAATGTATGAAGGGCGAAATTCCGTTTTTAAGCAATGTTAAAAAATTCTGAATTCTTTAAATTTTCCATAAATTTTCTTACATATCCTATAGGCTTCATATAATTTTCTAATTGTACCACAGTGGCTCGCTGCCAAGGTCATGTAAACCTTAATTTGTGAAGTGCCGCTGCCAAGGCAGTAGTAGCGCTTGGAACCAAAGTTTGCAGTTCATTTATCACTCACAATGTAGATTAATTCTAATTCCTTCAACCAAGGTCTTTCTTTTTCACATACATGGGCAGAATAACTATGTACGTACATATGTAAATATATAAATAGTTCCATCGATGTGGCGTGCAAGGTTCTACGCTCCAAACCTTGTGACTCCAATAGCAAGTTTCTACATACACTTGTGATCAGCTTATTAAGTCATCTACATTTTGATAAATTAAGCCTATTTTTCTTTTGTTTAATTAATGATTATTTGTTTTTCCATAAAAAAATCTGCAAGATTCCTGCTGAATTTTCAACTTCTTATTCAGATTTTTTAGAATTTTTTTTGGGGTATGTTTAAAATAGCTAAAGAATCGCGTTCATTTTTACTAATTTTTTTTCTGACATTTATATGGAGAAATTTCATTTACAGAATCACAATCAGAATCGCCGCAAACTCGACAGGGCTTAGATCTGTCTGACTTCTAAATATGTTTCAGTTTAAATGAAACTTTTTTAAAATTAAATGAAACCATTTTCAAACAAAGCGAAACCTTTTTCAAATTAAAGGAAACCTCTTTCAGGTTAAGCGAAACCATTTTCAAAATAAATGAAACCTTTTTCAGATAAAGCGAAACCTTTTTCAATTTAAATGAAACCTTTTTCAGATTCAACATTCCTAAAAGGAAGTTTAATTTAATTTAAAAAAAGTTTATTTTAATTTGAATAAAGTTTCATTGAATTTGAAAAAGGTTTCATTTAATTTGAAAAAGGTTTCGCTTAACCTGAAAAGGGTTTCATTTAATTTGAAAATGGTTTCATTTAAACTGAAAATGCTATACATATTTATATATTTATGAGTGTTGCTATTGCTTAAACCCAAAACATTTCACATGTTTTTTGGTGACTTCTGTTTAAAAGACGATTGTTTTTATGGCAGCTCATGCTTGAAGCACATAATATTTGCATTATCTGTTTAATTCTGGACTGTTGATATTGTAATACCAAATTTCTGCATAACTTTATTGATCAAATTGGATTTACTAGACCAGTCATGCCCAACGCTGGCAGAACTCCATAAGCAAGGGCCCTGCGCTGGGCATGCCTGGACTAGACTATCTGGGAGCAAACAAGAACCCAAGCATACGAAAGTATAAGAAAATCATATAAAAATATCATTTAATAAAGCGTTCAAAAAGTAATTAATTGGTACATATACGAGTATATAATTAATAATTGGTATTGAGAATTATGACTACGCGGATATCTACATACATATGTACATATGTACTATGTATGTATGCACAAATCAATGGACAAACATTGTGTACAGAAGACTAAATAAATATGCATACAAAAGTACGTACATACATTCATATATATGTATGCATATGCATGTAAGTATGTACCCAATAGACAATCTCAGGAGTTAAAAGCCCTTCCGAAAGGCCTTCCGCTATACATTCCTTTCTCCTTTCTTTTTTTTCTATGGAGTGGCACAAACTGAAAAGCTTCTTCTTTCGCTACACATAGAATGCCTTCCAGAAGGGCTTCTATAGGACGTACTTCAGAAAGCCTTTTGGAGGAGTTCTTTTAAAGTTGCTTCTTTAATTTATTAAAATCATACATCTTTGAAGTATTTGCTTGAGGTTTACATATATCAAATATGTATGTGTTATTGCAACTCAAAATGTTTATTGAAATTCATTTGTAATGCTAAATAATATAAATATATGCATTCGCGTAAATTGTAAACGAATAAGTCCTTCTAGAAGACATGCAAGGAAGCACATTTTTCAGCCTTTCTTGGGTAGGCCTCTTAGAATGGCTTCACTTAAGAAGGCCTACCTTTATTATATTATGGGTATGCATGTACTATGCATATGCATGTAAAACAATTTCGCAAACATTTTTGTTTGTCTGTAAACCATTGGTTGTTTTAATACATATTTCTTTTTCTCACAATGAAAATGCCAACACTGCTGTACTGCATTTTACTAGAAAAGTATGTGGTAAGTTGAAAAGAAGTAGAAATTATAATAAATTTTTCAACCCTAATTGGCTATGTAAACATTCTTAATTGCCCACATATTCGCTAAGAACTTAAAATATGTACATATGTGTATATATCGATGAGAATATGTATCCAGGAATGCGCCCTGCAGGAAAATCAGATTTAACGAATGCTAATTCAACTCAAGAGTTTACGTAAATCGGAAACCTTACGCTTTCGAAATTAGGTGGATGTATAAATTGCTTTTATAAAATTCTAGCAAAGTCGTAATTTAAAAAAAAGTATTATTTGTGTAATTGGTAAATTCTGTTCAATAATAATTTACATTTCCACAACTCTTTCATTTGCCAATATTAGGGGCAGCTCAAACAGGCGCGGGGTGGTAAATTCTCGTACGATATACACATGTTGCTCAAACCATTACTGTAATAAAGAGTACTATGAGTAAACATTTCTTACGGGATTGTAGCGCGCGGAGCCGTATCGCGCCAGTTTGAGCAGGCCTTTATTTTTTTCTTTTTGAGCGTACATATGTACATACACTAGGGTATTAGTTGCCTATTTTCAAGTTATTGGACTTTTTTAGTAGGGTTCCCAGGTTTTTTAAACTTGCTTTTGAATATTTGACTTTTTAGATTCAAAATGGTTGTAAAATTACATATGTATGTATGTAGATATTTAAATGGATATTCACAAGCAAATGTCATGTTTGCGGTCGGTCATACACATATGTTCATATATGTATACATACATACGTACATGGCAAAATCGAACTCCATGACGCTTGGATGTTGCGCAACATTTTGCTGAAAACAACCAGCCCATCAAACTTCACACAGTGGGAACAAACAATCCGGCTTCATCGTAGATAACATCCTAATCCCTCTATTTCCTTAGCTACTCTTATGCAAGTGTCTATTGTTTTGTTTACAAGTAAATATTACTATTTTTTGTGAAATCCTAATAAAGAGAAAATCAATTCAACGCATAAGCAACGATATTAATACACTTTTTTACATACATAGTTATAATAGTAGAATAGAGATCCCACAATTATGCAATAACAAAAAACAAATAATAATTTTTACAGTATTTAAATGTTTAATGTAGCAATGATATAAGTAAAGTAAAATTTTTTACCAACAGAAAATGCAAAAAGTGAAATTTAGTCGAAATGTAAGCGAATTATACGAAAAAAAAGGAAACCAATCAATAAGTGCACATTCAAATGTATGTGTTTACTACAAATATTTAATATGGCATGTGTTGAAGCGGAGCGAAAAGCAAATAAACAGCAGTGCAATGCCAGCACAATACCCGTGTATTATTAATGATTACATTTTTTTTTTATTATCATACTGTAGGTACTGTATATTGTATGTATTATTATCAATTTTTGATAAAGAACACCTTTTTGATAGAGAACTTTTCTGTAGTGTGCAAATTTTATCGCCAAAAATAAGAATAAATAAAATGAAATATTATTAAAAAATATACTTGAAAGAATTGTACAAATTTTTTTTTTTATAGCAAGCGAAGGGTAACGAAGATAAAACCGACACACATACATACATATGTGCATTAGAATGGTCCAATTTTGTATGGGGGGGGGGAGGAGGGGGGCGGAATATCATCCTAGAAAAAGGGGCACCCCTTTTAATATTTGTAATATCAATACCAACTTTCAATTTTCTACTGTAACCAATACAGGGTGCTCAATGGCCTTGAAATGCGCTACTGGATCCCCGAAAAACTAAAAATATTGGTAATTTTTATAAAAAAAAAACTACTGTTGCCATGACAGCACATCTTTCGGCAAGAGGAAGAATTTTGGAAGGTGCCCCAAAGCCTATCTCGGCAAAAAAAAAATAAAAGTACTTGCATATACATATGTACCTATGGATGTGATGTACTATGTACATATAAATATGTATTTTCACGTAATAAGTTAAATAAATGTAGCGTGAAGCCATTGAAAGTTGCGTAAAAGTGAAGTGGAACTAAAAAAAGGAATCATAAAAAAAGGAAAATGCTGGCAAAGCGCCGATTAACAAATGAAATATTTTAATATCTATTGTGCGTGAAATTCTTGTTAATTATAAGTGAACGTTCAGCAAGTTTGAACGCATGAATACCTGTGCAAGCGGAAACGAAAATACGTAGATATACATATGTATATTGTTACTCCCAAAATTGAGCGTACGGCTCTTTTTTGTTAATAATAATAACACGTTTTTGTTAATTTTGTATTAAAATATGGGCTTGTATTTTAGCAAACTCCATTTTAATTCCAAGAATGATACTGTGTACAATAAGTAATATTTAAGCAAAAACAAAACCGACTTCATTATTACATATAGCTGCAAAAATACAAGATACCA